AGATGATGAGTTTTTGGTGGTGATCCGGATCAATAATCAATCAATAATAATAATAACTTGCTGCCTTGGCGGAGGCCTGCGCTCTCGGAGTGCTTTTCTAGTTTTATTATTATTATTGACGGGCACGGTGATAATATATAATGTTATTACTACACTATGTTACCACCACATAATGTTGAATATTAATTATGAATAACTCTGATACTGGAACTTGCATTAAACAGCTAAAACGAGGCTCTCAGGGGGAAGGGTATCATTCAGCACTACTCGACCAATCAGATCGGACAAGAGTCACTTGTTTTGTTTACCTTGGAGTTTCCTGTGCGTCATTCTGTAACTAGGTCGAAAGGAAATTAAGCCACACACTCCAGTCGCATACAGTTGTGAATGTCGCCAAGGTCCCATGTGAAAGGTAAAGGGAGTTTATATACCATTTCTAATAAACATAGGTAATGATTTAACTGTTATCTCGCATATGAGATACCAGTATATGTGTAGATTTATGTAATTACGTGTAACAATAGGCACTGCATGGGTGCATGCATTTTAATGGGCACAGCGACGCCGAGGCCGCGCTTACTCAACAACTTTCGTTTTTGGCTTTAAAGGCTTGTGTCTGTTTATATCGCTTTAAGTTGGTTGACCTTTCATCCACCAGCTACACGTATTTCTATCTCACCAGTATAATACATGCTTTCACCGCCCCTGATGCTGAGCATTCGTAGTTGATGGTAAACATTTGATTTCAATAAAAAAGAGAAAAGGTGAAGGGCGTTGATTGATTTCCTACCCCATTTCGAAGGCAAACATGGATATAATACTGGGTATTCAGAACTGAGGGGCCAGAAAAAAGATTGATTTGTTTTATTTGTACATTATTCCACCAATTGAATGCGCTATAAGCATTTCAGCTTCTTTATGTAAGAGCACTGTTTGTGTGTTTATAGTAACAAATGTCCCGTTAGCTATTCAGTATTAGGAAGCCCACTGCAATCTTCTGACAAATAAAATTTTTAGGAAGGCCAGAACCCACTGAAAAATATTTTTCAAGTCTACGTCACCACTTGTCCCTGTCGTCTACTGCACCCATACAGTTAATCTATAGATACTATAAAACTTAAATCCTCATTGAAAAAAGATGCATATAAAGCATGTGTGCATGTGAAACTCGACAAATGCAACCACATTGTTTCAAGTAATATACATTCACTACAATACACCATACACTGTACATAGATCTGTTTAGCAGTGTTTTAATTAATTAAAAATAAGCTAGCGGAAAAATTGTTTCTTCAAGTGGAACTTTACAAACATTAGTTTAGCAATTTAAATCATAAAGAAATTTACCTTTTTTCTGTTCCCACAAAAAACCACCCTAAACTGACTGAATTTTAAACCTTCCTTACTGTCTCTCGTGGCACCATATTCTCCAATACATCCAAGTTATTTTACTAAGTAGAACTCAGTAAGCTAGCGTGGTGTCTGACGTCTCATAAAATGTCCGGAATGTTTATTTTAAACAACTCAATAAATAGCTTGGGATTGTTTTTGCGGTGTCAACGATTTTTAGAAAATGAAAAATTGTTACGTCTTTTGTGGCAGGTCATAAGTTTTATATAAAAACAAAAATTCATGAATGTCTCAATTTTACATCTATGTTAAATTTAACCATGTCTATACATTATGAAAAGAGCCCTTAATTGTAACGCATTTTCCGGTAACGTATGATAATTTTAATTCTTGTATGGCGTTCCAATACATTTTGTAGTAATTCAGAACATTATAAATGACATAAGGATGTTTTTATAAATACTTTTACTGTAACCCAAGCGGGTTAACGTCATGACAATCTTGTTGAGGAAATGCAGTCAGCCTACAAATTCAATCATAGCACAGAATCTGCACTTTTGAGAATTAAAAATGATTTGTTAAGTGGTGTTGACAAACATTCTGCTATGTTATTGGTACTGTTAGATTTGTCCGCTGCGTTTGAAACAGTAGACCATAAAGTTTTATTGACATTTCTAGAGAAGAGTGTAGGGGTTAGAGATAAGGCCTTAGATCTTTTATGATCCTATCTTGTTGGGAGAATGCATCAAGTTAATATAAATGGTGTGCTTTCTGAACCCTCACAGCTTTTATTTGGTGTTCCTCAGGGGAGCGTTCTTGGCCCGCTTAAGGTTTGTGTTTACACGTTACCCCTTGGAGCAATTCTGCGTTATCATAATATAGGTTACCACTTTTATGCCGATGATACCCAGTTGTACACATCTTGTAACATCCATGATCCAGCATTGTCTGTGAACACCACTGTTGATTGCATATCAGACCTCAGAGGTTGGCTCATTTCAAACAAATTGAAGATAAATGATGGAAAAACAGAATTTTTAGTCATTACTCAACCCCACAACAAGGGCCTTGCTCATAACTTGCAACTTAAAATTGGAGCTAGTATGGCACTATCCTCCACCCTTGTAAAAAAATTTAGGAGTACACTTTGATTCTACACTTTCAATGGACAAACAGATCTCTAACATCACAAGGTCTTGTTTATTCAACATTCGGAATATTGGCACCATAAGGAAATATCTGAATCAATCATCTGCTGCTACTGTTATACACTCATTGGTAACTTCCAGGCTGGGCTATTGCAATTCTGTATTATATGGATGTCCAGATGATAAGATCAAAAGTTTACAACGCATCCAGAATATCTCAGCACGGCTTTTAATGCTACAGCCTAGGGATTGTCATATCACTCTAATTTTAAAGCAGCTGCACTGGTTACCAGTTAGGGCCAGAATTTTATTTAAGGTTTTTATTTAAGAACATNCAAAATGTATGGATTTTAACTTTACCAAATGTATAGATATCATTCCAACACTATTGGTAGATGGAGAAATTGTAGAAAAAGTGAGTAAATTTAAGCTACTAGGAGTAACTCTGACCCCTGATCTCAAGTGGACAGAACATGTGCAGTTAATTTATTCAAAGTCTTGTGCCAAGCTTTTTTATCTAAGGCAGTTGAAAAGGGCAAATCTGGCCACTGAGGATCTAATAGTTATATATCAATCAATAATTAGATCAGTCCTAGAATATGCATGCCCTGTGTGGGGGCCTGGTCTTACAGCTGAACAATGTGAATGCTTAGAATCTGTTCAAAGGAGAGCTCTTAGAATTATTTACCCATTTTATACTTACAAGGATGCCCTACAGGCTAGTAATCTCACCTCTCTGAGGGAGAGAAGAGTCGTTTTACTTAAGAACTTTTTTACAAAAATCAAGAATTTTAATAAGCTACACCATCTGTTTAAACAAAAGAACCCAAGAAATCTCAGGGTCAGCAACAAATTTTTAATACCAAAAGTAAAAACGGAGCGTTTTAAATCATCTTTTATAATACACAGTCTTTTAAATTTTATGTAAATTACTGCTTCAAACTGTCTTATAAGTCTTTGGTCCTTTTAGTTTATAATTTTTAGTTAATTTTAAAATACCTTATGATTTTATTATTTAAGACACATTGTAAAACTTCAACCTTTAGGTTGCGATTTTAGTAAATAAATTATTATTATTATTAGGTTTTAGTTTTTACACATGCTGCTTTTTATAACCTAGCTCCACCATACATTACTGATCTAGTAAAACATTATAGCCCTCAAAGATCCCTGAGGTCTGGTGACAAATTTTTACTGAAAGTTCCCAAATCAAAGTTAAAAACATATGGTGACATATCATTTTGTGTAGCTGCACCAGTAGAGTGGAATAAGTTGCCAATTTTCATTAGACGAATAGAATCACAAGAATGTTTTAAAAAGGAATTGAAAACTCACATTTTAAAGACATTTTATTCATGAATTTTTAATTTTACATTAAAGAAACCTTGGATTTTTTACTTTTATTACTGTTCATTACAATTTAGTCTAGTTCTGATTTATATAATATATATCCTAACTATTCTTATTTATAAACTTCTTTGTATTTTATGTTGTACAGTCTATTGAACATTTTATGGATTTTAGACTCGAAATAAATAAATTATTATATTATTATTATTATTATGACTAATACTACGTAACGTATGTTCCTCAGAAAAATTGCCACAAAGTTTCATCTTGCCCACGTACTTGGCACAATAGGTAACAGGAATTTCTGTTGCTGACTGAAAACATATTTTGACATTACTGATACAACATTTGGACGACGAATGGCAAATAGTTAATTTGTTGATTATTTTACTGTCAGTATGGTGTACCCCCTCCCAAACACTCACATACACACCTTTTAAATATTTAGTGAAATGAAAACTTAAGTCGCTCAAAAAATTAACTACTCTAAACAAACGTGTATTCCTTTTTTTGGGTTAGACGATGAATCATTTTATTATTTTATTCAGAGTTCCAGTAGAGTGAACCTTTGATACTAAATTATTCGTGTAGGACCCTAGAATAGCCAAACATAGTTTGTAATCTGTGCACTTAGTATTAAGGATATGCCTGTGATATCAATTGCACCTCTATATTCGGTTATCGTGCATACCGTGATGACGTGCCATGAATGCTTCTTCCATTACCAAATATTTGCCAATGATTCGATGTCTATCATTATATCTTTTTAAGATATTGTTCCAAGGAGCCATGTCTCTGTCCAAGATCCTAACGAAAGATTACCTGACGTGCAGCATATGCCATGGAAATTGCAAAGATCCCAAGGTCCTCGGCTGTTCGCATACGTTTTGCCAGCATTGTCTCCAACAAATTTTGGACACAAATGTCCAAGGTCAGCCTGGCTTCCCTTGTCCTACCTGTAGGCGTCAGTGTGACCTCCCTAGGGGCGGTGTAAGTGATTTACAAACAAATCATCTTCTGGTCAGCATATCACACACAATTGATCAAGTGGAACAAGCCAAAGCTGTCAAGAAGTGCGAGGTATGTTGTCTGAAAAATGTCGGCAATCCACCGACGGCAACGAAACGCTGTTTGGAGTGCCANACACAAGTTTAAAAAATAACTAATTGCGCGTATGTCTCCTTGAAAGCGTCTGCACAATGCTTTCATTTAACATGAATTTTCTTGAGGTTATCTAACGAAAAAAACATGCAAAATAAACAGAAAGTTAATAACGCTTAAGTGCCATAAGACGTCGCTGCCTCTTGTCTGGCGTTTTAAGACACGTCATTTTTGCGGGAAACCTTTTGAAATCTTCACAGACACACTTGGTGCATGATCTACAGAGTCGGGCCGGTTATCTAGTCTTGATGTTAGTAAGAACCCAAGTTTTTATTGCATAAAGTCGTTTCTCCTGCCTGGCTCAGTAGGGGGCCTTTCCGTCGCGTTTTAACGTTGCGCAACTCCAACGCCACGCCAGTTCCCAGAATCACAGATGATAGTCAGATATTAGGTTTACTTATTTCGCCGTCAGAATCCTTTTAAACTCTGAAATTAAGAAGGTACAATTTAAATATTATGTATACTGCAAAACAGTAGTATTGGCATGATAGCAACAGTAGGTAATTTATTAATACGGCATAGAGATCTTAAGAAATAGGCTATTCTTAGGCGACTTTGAAGCTGGACCGCCACGGTGACGTCAGCGACGTCAACAACGGGGACAGGGAAACGGGTGGGAGCTTATTCATATTTCGAGAAATTAAATACAGAAACTTAGGATAATAAGATGAATAGAGCAAGACCACCGAAAGAGGATGTGGGTTTCTTCAGGCATTTTCTAAGTATTTTCGGTGTTTCTCATAAGATACAGTACATTGTATTCATCACGATATGGTGCTGCTGGTAAGGTTTCGTCATTCGGCTTCACACGCTTATCACGAAATATTGACGTTATCTAATTAGATGAAGAATCAAGTGTCTTGTGCAACATTATTTACCTGTAAAATTTACTGTGCCGTCACCGTCAACATCAGCTTCTTGGATCATTTCACGAACCTCAGCCTGGAAAGACGAGAATAATGCGGTTAAACTTCCCGCCCGAATTGATCTCTAAGTTACACTGTATATCATTTTAAAAATACATTTGTTTAGGCCAACGTAGAAAGTTTTTCAAAGCTATTTAGGCTGTCGTTAATTGACTTTCCAAAATGAAGAATCAGGGCCAAAATACAGTCAGATAATTTATCACCAATTATAATGTCAATGCCGAATCACAACATTCACAACAATTATTGCTTGAAATGCTGTTGAAGTTTTAAGTAGTATTTCCACTCCCGAATTACATAACACGTATTTTACCAACGATATTGAGGACCGTGACTAGAATTTTAATTTGGGGTGTTTTAAAAATAAAAGGTGGACTTTTTCTCTAATATAAGAGTTTTTGGACTATTTCAATCTCAGTTTTAGTTCTCTGTATTAAATTAAGTGATGAAGAATCAATTTTTTTATACTTGTCACTGTTAGTTAGTGCAGATGGAATGTTGATTTGAGTCAAAATGACTGCCTCCCCCGGCACCCCTCGACCTGGCTAAAGAGCTGCCATTGTTGCAAAACGTCCTGGTTTTTCCCATCAGATATCTGAACTAAGTATTCTCAGATGCATTTCTATTTTCGCCATTTGTTTGCCATTAAACAGATTGCCTATATCGTGAATGGGGCATTTATTACTCTCCGATATCGATTCAAGTGTGCAATATTAACTCTGCTCTACATTTTCACCATGCTGCTGGCGTTTCAAGGTTGAAAACAGACGCTACAGAAATCGACTTAACTGCAGTATACTTAACTCACCTTTGTTATGACTTCACCTATTTTTGTTAAGACGTCGTAAAGTTCGTCTGCGTCTATGTGCCCGTCACCATTTTGGTCGAAAACGTGAAACACGTCCAACAATTCTTTCTCTGGATCCCTGCTTTTGTTTTTTGACATCATACTTAAAAATTCGTCGAATTCTATCGTTCCGCTTCCTGTGGGAAAAAAAAGATGAAAAGGAAACTTTTAGATGGTTTGTAAAAATGATAGATTTTTAACGATAAATATACGGAAAGCAACCCTTAGCGGATTGTATTTTAACCTAGGCATCTGCACTATACATCCCACTGCGTCGTTAAGTACAGTCAGAATATTGCACGTCAGTAAACGCCAGCATGATTGTCTTGTGATCGTCTGCAGAATAACATTTCAAACCCAATGATACCGAGTGACGCATTTTGCCGTAATTTAGTTGATCTAACGAAGAATATAAGATATGAAAGCGGAATCTATTTTTGCCTCGCACCTTCAGCCTGGCATTTCATCATACCGGTGAGCTACTCGTGGAGTTGCAATAACGTTTAATAAGAAGATAAATATGTAATTATGCTTGGGTAGGTTTATCGACGATTAAACAAAAGACATGAAGAGCGCTATAATTTCAGTTCTATGGTGCATGGCGCGGTTTCCGAAACGTTTTAACAATGCAAAAATCGTGAAGGTTTTAGATACTGCGTGCGGAAATTCAATAAACAATGCACGGTGCGTGTTTAACTTCGTGTTTGATATTAAATGACAATTTATTTTATCACGATATTGCTTGATACATCATCATTTCGTGGCCGTCAAGCAATAAACACACGCCCATGGTTTTTACAGTCGATTGTATCAGCAAAACAAACTAGATATTGCCTGTAAAAAAATCGTCGACATGATTCTTTTGACATAATATTCAACATAACAACTAACCTTTCAATTTTTTAGAAATATATTATAATTCTTTAAAAATATATTTTAATAAATGTTTTAATTGGAAAACCGAGAATAAATAACCCCCACCGATAATGCTTCGAGCCACGCACACGTGCACGTTTTCTTTGCCTCAGCATTTTTGCCAGAACATACCTGGTTTAAGGCACTGTCGTTCCCTCCAACACTTAAAACTAAACTGTCCATGTATCGGCATGATTGTCGCCGAGGTCGTCATAACGCACTCCATTTCTCTAGATGTAAGTAATGTCAGTCAACTAGTACTTGGTAAATAGCTTGCTTCCACTTGAAGCGCCACAGAGAAAATGTGACTGTCTAAAAGCGACTAAGTCCAACGTATAGCTTAACAGTAACTGAACGCCTAAGCTGCAACTAAAGTTTTCTGGTTCTGATCAGTGGCAACTGTGATCTGAAGGAGACTGGCTGAGCAGGAGTTTATATACCGTAGGAAGCATGCGCAGAAGGAGGAGATAGCTGCCTGTAAATATTCAGAGAGGCTACCTCGCTGCTTGTGTATTCAGTGGCAAAGACGGAAGACTTGCCTTTAGATTATTGGCTCCGATGCTGTGCAATTGACGTAGGCGTCTCGCGAGACTCCTGACAGAACCATGGTTACACGATAAACGACTTGCTCAAATCACTTTCCGTTGTACGCCGCAATACTGCAAATTAATGTTACCAGATAATTTGATTTGGCATCGGAGCCACTGTCATTCATATTCCCGGCCACTGCCGTTGGAAAGACCACAAGAACCCTTGTAGGCATAACCCAAATGCTTGCCTCGGGGAAGAAATTTTCCAAGACAAAGAGAGCGCTTCATCTTAAAGAAACCTTTAGCAGAGGATCTGATCGGGAATTTTATTGTCTCCTTCCGAGAAGAATCTATCTACGTGAATAACACGTGTGGCCAACACTTGACACGTACAGGTATAAACAGAAACCGTAACAATATATGTACATCTTCTAGAGATACAATTCGTGCCAAGTAAGTACTGCCAAACAATTTAATTATTCTTGCTGTTTTGACCTTTGCTGATTCCAATTAACAGATACAGAAATAAACACAGTGATTGTTTGTTAATTATACACACTAAGTTGTTTGTTTATTAAATATAATCCATTGTACTCGTGGCTTCGGTCCCCACAAGTGCATCCAGTGTGATTAGTATTAAGATTGTCAACAAGACCATCGGGTTTGATTAGAAATCAGATTGAAACTATATGCAGTAGTGCATGTTTATTGCGTCTTCTCATGCCGTTAATTGTAAACAGATCTCTTGGAAGTAAAGAAAAAAGAAAGATGGTACACGTACGTTAATATCATCAATGTAGTCAAATAAGAAAGCCTTCCACCCTCCACTATTTCAACCGTCAATCATAAGGGCAGGAAACACGGGTGTAGGGAGACCCTATCCCGGTCGCAGATTTCTTCTTTCTGGATATTTAACCCCCCTCCCCAAAAACTGACGTTCTGCGTACTGCATTATTTGTGCATTACATCGATATATTTCAGACATGTTTTAAAACATAGATTTTTACATGACTGCTTTCCGGTTGCAAAGTTATCCTATAGACTCTACGTATACGTAATGCCGGTGTAACAGGAATGGAAGTCACAGGAATGGAAGTCCAGGCTCCCATATGATAAGTACAGCTAGGTAAGGGTTTGTTGCAGTATTGGGGTTAATATATGGGACGAGTGTCACCTGTACAAAGTAATGGGGAATGGACTACGGTTCCTAGCGGACCACCATTCCTGTTACACCTGCCGCAGAACGTTAAAAGTCCAAAAAATCTTTCTAGGGGAATAAACACAAAGGGATTTAGGCAAAATAAAAATAATAATTAGCTTATGAGGGGTCAAGGTAAAAAGGAATAAAACTTTAAAAAGGTGTCACAACTTTCGCCGAATATAGTCTATTGTACTAGTCTAAACGTAATTGATTTTAACGCTACAGATTGCTTCCCGTCTCTGTTGTAAAATGTTCTTTTTGCGATTTGGCCATCGATTATTTTTCTTGTATGTTTAAATAGCTGAACATGTATTAAAATGATTGCATTCTTTTGTTGAATTTTGTTAACCAAATCTTTGTATAGGTAAACAGTATGAGGGATACTTGTTTCCGTGGTAATGTGCTATGACCAATGCCATTTCAGTTGCTGATATAAAACCATCCAAGACAACAAAATAAATACGTAATATTCCCAAAAAATTAAACGTATAGAGTAACATAAACGCTCCACGGCGGCTAATTTACCGGGAATTTCAGCGACTCTTGCTTCTCTTGGTTTCGGTTGTAGGAAGCGACGGGGCGTCTTTTTCCTTCTCCCTCTGGATAGCGTGCTAGTTTGGCGTGGGTCAATTACCTGAAGACTTTGACCCTGAATATCTTGTGCAACAAGATATTTTTGTTTGCTGAAAAACACTTTAATTTGAAGGGAAACAGGAAACGGGAAATGCGTCACATATATTACATAATTGTCGCTTTTACATTGTGGTGATATTGTTTTTCTCCCAGTTGGTATTAGCCGCCATGTGTCCAAGGTGGATAAAATCTCGATTTGTTACGGTGTTTATGTGGATGTACAACCACGAGGTCTACCTCCTGGTTTCACGACGAGACAGCAAGAAGAAAGAACCGCAGCAAATATTGAACTAACGCGACATTTTCCAGCTTGTAAAAAGATATTACCACAAACATGACATCAAATCTGTTCGTTATTTTTGAATCGAGAACATACGGGTACTTAGTAAGAGTAGCATGGTCAACAAGCAACAGCAAGCATTTTTACTTTCTAGCCCAAACAACCATTGAAGACCACTCTCTTGTAGAGATGAAAAAAAAAACAATCATTCCTTGAAACAAAATTGCTCAAAGCCAACAAATCACTGGTTCTATGATGCTAGTTTTGCTCAATTTTCTTCCATTTTCTGCAGAGATAAAGGTTTTCCTGTTTGTCGCGGTTAACCAAACCTAGATGTGCTATTTGACGACAGGATAATCTAATGAATAAAATTACATAAACCAAGCCCCAGAAAACGCGAAACATCCACAAAGAAACAAAATTTTCTTCAAATGCAATTTTCACCATCTTTTTTGTGTATGTTAATTATCACGTCTCAGAACCCGACTTCTCATAATAAGAACGTCGGAGTGACCTTGGGGAAACAATCACAACGATTTCATAGTTATTAATTGGCAGATATCTGTAACTGAACCAATTTTTAAAAAACACAAATAACAACCGACCTTGATCAACTTTTAGTCCTATCAGCGCTAGCAAACCACAACAACAAGAAAAGAGCCCAGGAAATAAATGCAAGATTCGGGAACATGATTAGACCACTTGGACTGGATAAAGGTTGATAGGGATAATCCTTAAATTTTACTTCACTTTTAAATTCTGTACAAAAAAGGAGGGGGCGTGGTAAGACTCTAATAATCATGTACACACACAATGTAACAAACTTTAAAGGGATTCAACCACTCCAACTCAGCCGTGAATTCCGTGATTTTGCTATATTTTGCGTTATTTTGATTTGAAGAATTTGACGTTGGGCGGGAGCAGTAGTACACACACACAGGATACATTATTCATGTCTGTTTACACACGTCTGCATTCCAGTAAACCCACCCAAAATGGTTTTTCATGCCTTTGCTTTGCATTGCAAGACTCTGATAGAGAGAGACACCAGGAGAGAAAATGATAGAGAATTGTTTATCTGCCAGAGAGCAGGTCATTATGATCAGATGAAGTGTTTGGCAAATAATCTTTGTGGTTACCGTCAATTTTATNATTAACCCTAAAAAATCCATATCTGGCCTCATCACTGAAAACGACGTGATTCCAGTGTTTTGGCTGCAAACGCACGTGGTCCCCAGCCCATTGCAGACGTCGCTGTTTATGACCTGCTGTTAACAGTGGTTTCCCTACTGGCTTTTGTGCAAAATAACCGGCTTGCAATAATCTCTTGTTCACGAGGGACCTTGAAACGGGCGTTTGAATGACATTCTGCCTCTCTTTTCTGAGGACACTGGTTGACTTTGTACGACCAGCACGGCGTCCTCTAAGGAGAAGGCGATCCTGTCTTCTTGGTGTGATACGCGGACACCCTGGTCGAGGTATTGGAGTAGGTGCCCCTGTTGTAGCAATTCTTTGGAGGACTTCACAAACGGTTCCTGATAAATGTTGAATTACCTGGCAATGGCTGTCCGTTTCCTG